AGGGCAGCTGAGGTGAACACACACACACACACACACACACACACACACACACACACACTAACTGCCAAAGGTTATACAGGTTTTAGACTTGGGACCTTGATGTTGCCTGCCTTTTTTAACCTTGAGCCAGTATAGATTAGTTCAAGCTTTGGGGCATATTGGTTACACCCTTGCCTCATGTAAATATATGCAAATCATTTCCTTTGAAGTTTGATGTGATGTTAGCTGTGAGTTTAGCAGGTGACAATTTGTTTGTTTTGAACTTTTGTCTGCCTGGAATGGAAATGATTTGCTGTATGTGACTAGGACAGCAACTCATATCTAACAATAGCTTTTGATTTAGACTTCACGTGGTGGTGTTGTAATATGATATGATGAGGACTTATAATCCAACCACATTTGTTTGCCTTAATATAAATCTAGATGCTGTTCAGAGCTGAATGATTATACTATTTTAAAAGTAACATGCAGAGTCCCCATCTTTGATCATCTGATCTGACCAAATTCTGCTCTTGAGGCTCTATTGATTTTAGAACCAGAATATTTATTTGATTTTGGGGGAACTTGCTGATGTAGGTTTATCGATTGAAGGTTGGTCAGGCTAAAATACTGCATAACAGCGGTACATACTACCCTTTACTGGTCAGTAACACCTGTTTGTTTTATCCTGCAGACCCAGATCCAGTACCTCAAGCAAGTCCAGCAGCCGAGTGCGGCCCAACTGCGGTCATCCATGGTGGACCCGGCCATCAACTTGTTTTTCCTCAAAATGAAGGCTGAACTAGAACAGACTAAAGACAAACTGGAGCAGGCCCAAAATGAACTGAGTGCCTGGAAATTTACACCTGATAGGTAAAGACAATCAAAATAACCCCCACCCTCCCAAAAAACAGTCAAGACTTCCTCATGCCCCCCACCCTCACTCTCGCTGCAGGCATGCAGGATCAAAGGTGGGGGGGAAGGCTGACAAATGCTGTACTCACCACGAGACTCAGACTTTACAGAAAGCCAGTCACTGCAAAACAAAACTGTTTTTGTACTCTCGCACTGTGCCAGCTACATATCACATAACCTAAAGCGAAAAGACAGTATGGTCAGGTGACACTTGTGTTTCAGCTCTCTCCCCTCGTATCCCCTCACCGTCCAAGGGCCTGAAGGAGTCCGGACTGTTCCTGAAGAGGTGGTCACTCACTCCCCGACACGGATAAGCCCTCCCCGGCCCCTCAGCTCAAAGCAGACAGTTCAAATATTAAATAGGGGGGTTATGGTGGAGGTGAGTCAGGCAGGGAGCATCCCTAGCCTAAAACAGCAATTGAACATTTTAAAGACAATTCCCCTACTTGGTTTAAAAAGACATTTAACTGTGGATTACACCACACACATACCCTGTAGTCTGCCTGAGAAACGTAAAGACTTGTTGGACAGTCTAGATTCACTGCAGTAACATGAGGAAAGTTTCTAGGATTAAAAGTAAGACTGTGGGGGGAAGAGCCGCTAGCAATGATGTTAAGACTGAGCGGAGCCAGATCCTGGCCCCCAGAGCGCTGAGGGTCCAGTCGCCTGTGTCTCTGAACATGGGCCCACTCACGGTAGAGTGTATTTACATGTTTTATTTTGTGACTTGTTTCTTTTAACTGCCATTTCATTTGATCTTTCTCTTGTTTCTCTGAAACAAACACTTACTGCAGTGTGTGTTCACCAAGACGCATGATTGGCTTTTGATTGTTTAAACTTGTGTTCATATTTGCACTTTTATGATGCATTGAGCCTAGCTTAATTCTTCAGGTTCAAACTGAAACACACTGCTGTGGGAGTCCTGTTTTCAAGTTGTGAATGCAAATGTCTTTAACAATTCATGTTATGAGTTGATAAGAATGTATTATTGTATTTCTGTGTATTGTGATTGACCTTACAATCTTTCCCTCAGCCAGTTACTCTAATAGCTCATTAGATTATTTTCTCACATCTGTGGCACAGATCCATAGCCACTGTTTCAGAATGGAAGGCACCAATCTTTTGTGTTGTTTTAAAAACTAATTTATACTCTGGTCTCTCACACTGATGTGAGATTACCAGCTGGTGGTGCATAAACAGCCTTTAAAAGCTAAAAGCACATCCTTATGGTTACAACTATCATTTCAGAGAAAATGCAGTTAAATTGCATCGCAAGTAAAAAAACAAACATACATGTATTTAATTAGCTTTGAGCTGTTACCACTCTAATGCCTGCTGTGATCGGCTACAGATGCCACGACTGTTATGTTAACATTTCCTTTTCCTCTGGCAAGATGACTTCCATAGGCATAACATACATTATAGTAGAGAGATTAGTTATGGTTTGAACTGACGTGTAAACTTGTCATTTACTGCAAATTTGGCTTCTTGATTAGGGCTTTTGTAAAACACAGCCACCAACTGCTTTTACTGTGTGTTTAAATTGATGACCATGCAAAACCAGTGCCTGGTTCTGCAAAGCATCTTTCCTTTTAATGCTGCTCATAGTTAAGGGTTGATATTTAAATGCAGGGTTTCTTGTAGTGTGTCATTCAAATGTTACTGTTACATTTTTCATTCTATTTCTTTCTCACACTCTGAGCTACTGTTGTAGCGAGTTGTTGACTTGGAGAGTTTGGTGGCGACAGAATTGCTACTGTGGTTTTTAAAAGTGCTCGTTTCTTTAATATGCAGCATGGTGAATTAAGTTAAAGTGTACAAATGGTTCTGTAGCAATGTGGGACCAGTAAGCTGCTTTTGGGTTTCAGGGGAGGAGGATCTTTTTATATTTTAAATGCCTACTCAGAACTTCTATTTTTTATATAGTAAATGTTTAAATGTCAGTTTGAACTTTGGGGCTTTTACAAGAGAATAATTAACTTTTTGGGTAGAACACAGATTTATATCAATAATTGTATCATTGATTTTAGTACAATGAAAATCCTTTTGTGGCTAGAGTAAATTAGGAATGCTAGGTTGCAGCGTTAATGTTAAACTCTAGCTTGTTGGAACGGATCACCTGCACCTCTTTGCCTGTCGTGTTTGTCTCCTGGTTCACTGCGTGATGTGAGACTTGTTTCCCTTACAGCCAAACGGGGAAGAAACTGATGGCCAAGTGTAGAATGCTGATTCAGGAAAACCAGGAGTTGGGTAGACAGATGTCCCAGGGACGCATCGCCCAGCTGGAGGCGGAGCTGGCGCTGCAGAAGAAGTACAGCGAGGAGCTCAAGAGCAGCCAGGACGGTGAGAACACAACCAGCCTCCAAATCTCACAGCCGGTTTTACTTCATCATACGCACATCTTTTCTGTCCAAGTTGTTTTTGACTTTCTTTGTCTGTTCCTCTTCATATCTCTCCTAGAGTTGAATGACTTCATCATCCAGCTGGACGAGGAGGTGGAGGGAATGCAGAGCACCATCCTCGTGCTGCAGCAGCAGTTAAAGGACTCCCGTCAGCAGCTGTCTCAGAATCAGGGGCCGTTGGACGGAGCGGGCCCCAGCAGGACTTCACCTTCTGCGTCCTGCTCGTCCGCTGAGCCGTCCGCCCAGCCCGAGCCGCCCAGCGCGTCCTCTGAACCGGCAGGCAAAGACTACGGGAGGGTCTCCAACGGACCGAGCAACGGCAACTCATCCCAGAGGAGCGAGACGGCCACGCCCAGCCTGTACCGGGAGGTCAGCAGCACTGAGGAAGACTTTCCCATGTCCCCCATGGTCTCCAGCCCCGGAGAGACCGAGACCAAACTGTCCAACCACTCGGAGGAGACGTCAGGGAGTCAGACGGCAGCGGGGAGGGTCGCAGGACCCTCGGGCTTCGGGAGCCAGCTGAGCGCAGGGTACGAAAGCGTGGACTCTCCGACAGGCAGCGAGACGTCATTGACTCAGCACTCAAATGACACAGACTCCACCACCGACCCCCAGGAGGACAAGGCTGCCATGGTGACCAAGGGCACCAGGACTGCGGGGTCACGGCACACTCAGAACGGCCTGGACTCCGGCAGTGCGGTTTTGTAATGTACTTTGACATGTACTGTCTTTTTTTCTTTTTTTATACAATATACAAGGCAACAACTGCATAGTCTGTAACACGGCGCAGCTGTCCAAGACATTTTGTTTTCACCCTGCTCTCCTTGCCTCTCGTGATGCCTCTGTCACATTTGTGTTGCTAAACAGGGATTTAACAGGTATGGGTTAATGTTAGATTTGAATTGAGTGGATGTCTGATTAAAACTAGTACGTTTCATTCTGCTGTTTTCTTTGAGCATGTCTATGCTGTTCTGTTTGAGCTCTTGACACTGAAATCAGGCATCTGGTGTTGTAACTCATCGTCAAAGTCAGTAAAATCACTGAATTACCGTAGCTTCGCAATATTGAAGGTCATTTTTTAGATGTTGGCCTGTGTTTTTTTTTTTTTTTTAATGCAGTTTAAATTTTTCATGACACAAATTCTGTTCAAAAGACTCTGTTGAATTGTGAGTAGTTTATATGCGATGTTCATATTATTCTGACTTCAGTCCTTTTCATGTACTGACCAAATACCAATAAAGATTTGTAATACTATAGAGTGAAACCCCATTATTACTCCCCATCAATGCAATGATAGGAAAACTCATCACTTGTATCGCACATTGAAAGCATACATATTTAAAAACCCTTATTACTTAATAAACCCTAAAGTATAAAACTGTTTTGAGTAGGTTTAACAAAATGAAAGTATTTAAATGTTAAGATAATGAACTCATGGGTATGATCAAATGTTTTTCCTTTAATAATTCTCAATTAAATGTTATAAATCATACCAATAAAGCATTACGGTAGCCAATGAGGCTAAAAAAGGTTGAAAAAACCTTACAGATAAGTTGAAAAATACATTATAGTAGGAGTATTGATTGAATGTGGGTCTGATTATCTTAAAGTTCAATGGGATGTGGCTTTTCTAATAAATAAACACTCCTCCTCCCAAACACGTGGTGGCGTTGTGTTTCTTTTCACCTCCATTTACACTTCCTACTCGGTGCAGCTCTGACAGAAGGCAGTGTCAACAGAGCCCTGCACAGAGTAGACTAGTAGACATTCAGGAATAACCTCTCCAGCCAAGCAGCCGTCTATCAAAATGAACAACGAGTCTATTGTCATCGTGTCTGCTGCAAGGACGCCCATTGGTGAGGTTTAATATCCCTTTAACTGCCATACACGTTCATTTTAAACACTTTTCTAACATTGCTACTTTGCTGTTGCTACATTCTGACTCGTTGCGATGGTCAAATAAGGTTTTTGTATTTATTTTGAATCATGTTTTTCTACATCTACGTGTCGCTACATCATGACCTTCTTTAAAGCGTATATATTAGCGTAGTTTAATTAGGTAAAGTGGTTGATGTCGTTCAATAAAATACGCCGAGTCTTTGCGAAGCTGTGATTGGTTGGCTCATGTGTCCGGAGTGTTCCGTGGCCTCTGATTGGTTGCTGGTCATAGTCCCACAGAGCACGAGCGCTCTCTCATTGGTTATCACTGCAATTTGTCCACCGTGTCAGGTCCAGTTGGGCGTGTTCTCCTCCCCAAGATGTGAAACATTTAACTTGACAGCACTTGACCACTGTGTACTCAGAAAAGTCAACAAATTCATAGTATGATTTCCCATAAAGACTCTGCCTCTAAGATATGCATGAGTAAAGTTTATGTTATTATGTAATGCACTATATAGCATTACAGGCACATTTGTTTGTCAGAGTTCAAAAGTTGTTAGAAAAATATTAAAAGGTGAACATGTTGGTCTTGACCTTTAAATGATGTTTCTGCTGCCACCAAAGCTTAAAATAATTCACAGAATAAATGTTTTTAGACATTTTGGAATTTTAATAACTGTACCTCATTCATGGTTGGATTTTGGACCACATTTAATATCTACTTTTCTTTATTTAGCGAAGTTGAATAGATGTAAGGTATCTCCCTGATTATGTGCTCATTGTTCAATATTTGTCCCTCTTTTTAAAAAGGGTCCTTCAACGGTGCTCTGTCCACTGTGAAGCTGCCTGAGCTGTGTTCCCTGGTGATCAAGGACGTTCTGAAGCGGGCCGAGGTGAAGCCAGAGGATGTCTCTGAAGTTATCATGGGACACGTTCTAACAGCAGGTGAAAGCTCAGGAAATCACTGCGATAAGGAGTGCCATAGGTTGCTGTATCTCATATAATGTGTGGTGTGCAAACAATTATTGGGTAACTGATTGATCCCCTATCTGTCTTATGAAAAAACGTTGTAATTAACGTTGTTAATACCCCTTAGTATCCAGCAAGAGTCACATTGATTTTCACCTCTATTGTGTTTTATCCCTTTCTGCCTTATTAATAGACCGTGTGTGTTTCTGTCCATCAGGTCAGGGGCAGAACCCGGCGCGTCAGGCCAGTGTAGCAGCTGGGATCCCGTACCCCGTCCCGGCCTGGAGCTGTCAGATGGTGTGTGGCTCCGGGCTGAAGGCTGTGTGTCTGGGAGCTCAGTCCATCCTGACCGGAGAGTCCACTGTGGTGGTGGCAGGGGGCATGGAGAGCATGAGCCAGGTAGGGTATGGGACAAGAAGCATCAGAGAGGAATTGGAAACTTTATTTGACCAGATGGAAATGAATAATGTGTGTGGGCCTCTTCTTTAAGAGCCTACTTACATTTATATTACTTGATTAAAGGGGACCTATCGTGCAAAATGCACTTTTCGATGTCTTTTATACATAAATATGTGTGTGTCAGGGAACTCACAGTGTCAGAAAACAAAACCTTTTCTCTTTTCCTCCGTACCCAAATCTAAAAAAAACGGGGTTACAACGGGGCTGACATATGTTTTTATATATTTTTATATATCTGAGACCCATAATATATGCCTAACATTAATAGGAGACCTTTAAGCCAATTGGGGTCTTTTTTACTTGCTTTGCCTGTGTGTAAAACATCATTTAATATTTGGAACTATAGGTCTTGAAGTAAACTGAAAAATTGCTTTGTAATTATTTTTCAAATGATGGTGTAAAATATTTTCAAATTTCGGTATCTAAATGTTTTCTTGTATGGACATTTTGTCAGGATGTTAAGATGTTATAACCGTTGTTTTCTGGTTCCACCAAAGGCTCCTCACACTCTGAGAATGAGAGAAGGGGTGAAGATGGGCGATGCCTCCCTGCAGGACTCCATGGTGGCCGACGGCCTGACAGACGCCTTCCATGGCTACCACATGGGCCTCACAGGTGAGCATGGCTGAACATATACATTGTCACACATCCTTATGTATATTTGCTGTTGTGATACATCGAAATACTTCTTATCAGCGGAGAATGTGGCAGAGCAGTGGAAAGTCAGTCGAGAGGAGCAGGACAAGTTTGCTGTCCGGTCCCAGAACAAGACAGAGGCTGCGCAGAAAGCAGGACACTTCGATCAAGAGATTGTCCCGGTGACAGTGTCATCCAGAAAAGGTGAGGAGCTGCTCTGTGATTTATGATCAGGAAATGTTCTCTTCTCTCTTTTACATGCACTGTAACATTTGTCTGTCATCTTCAGGCCCGGTGGAGGTGAAGGTGGATGAGTTTCCTCGCCACGGCAGCAGCACAGAGAGCATGGCTAAACTCAGACCCTGCTTTATTAAGGGCAGCGGCACCGTCACCGCTGGCAACTCCTCAGGTTGCTGCTCTTTTCTTTTTTGAGACAATGTCATTGAGGTTTATCTCACAAACATCCACTGTCGTGATTAGAAGTTATGTAACCTAAATGCATGTTTTTCCTACTGTAGGTATTAATGATGGAGCAGCAGCAACCGTCCTAATGAGCCAATCAGAGGCTGCGAGACGTGGCCTTAAACCGATGGCCAGAATTGTAACGTGGGCTCAAGCTGGCCTTGACCCATCTATCATGGGAACGGGACCAATACCAGCCATCAGGAAGGCCGTGAGTAATCAGAAGCAACGAAATGTAACCATATCTGAAAAAAGAAATCTTCTTTGGTTTTATTTCATTATTATTTTGTCGTTCTTGTCCTCTGGTAGGTTGAGAAAGCAGGCTGGCAGCTGGAGCAGGTCGACTTGTTTGAGATCAATGAAGCCTTTTCTGCCCAGTCTGTTGCGGTGGTGAAAGAGCTTGGCCTAAATGCAGACAAGGTAATGTTTGCAGCCCAGCCTCACTGACAATACATCTTGTATTTTTGTCTGTCCATTAACCCACTTTCAATATGAGTATCTTTTCATACTTAGGGTATCCTAGAATATTAATACAATCATACTAGTAAAACAATTACTCTTATTTAAGAGGAACATTACATTACAATATTTTAGAAACTGTCTGTCAGCTTTAGGTGATGTTTTTAGTAGGGCTGCTCAATTAATTGTATTTTAATCGCAATTACGATTTTGGCTTGCAACGATTACGAAAACAACGTAATCGGTTTTTCAGTTGAATTATACTTAAAGTTCAGGGTAATCAACTGTTAAAATGTCTTTTTTCAATAAATGGATGTTTTCAAAGTAAATGGATAATCGTGATATCAATGATTGACCAAAATAATCGAGATTATAATTTTTGCCATAATCGAGCAGCCCTAGTTTTTAGGCATTTTTCCTTTTTATTCAGTTTATCACTTTATAGAAAAGCGTACATTTCCCTCTAGAATGGAACAGCATGGTAACCTGTGCTTTTTGTCCCTCCTCTCCTCAGGTGAATGTGAGTGGGGGGGCCATCTCTCTGGGCCATCCCATTGGCATGTCTGGCTGCAGGGTGCTGGTCACCTTGCTGCACGCCCTTCAGAGGACTGGAGGCAGTAAGGGCGTGGCGTCGCTCTGCATCGGAGGAGGGATGGGCATCGCCATGTGCGTGGAGAGGGTTTGAGACGGAAACTTAATGCTGCCTCACAGATTGCACTCAATCTTAAATGATAAAGGGATAGTTGTCGTTTACGCGGTTAAATCTTATCCAATATTAGCCATTCATTACATTTAGCTGAGGCTTTTCTCCAAAGCGACTTACAGTAAGTACATTCCACCAGGAAGATACAACCTTCCCAAACCCTCCATCAGGTTATAGCTGTGTAACATGTGACTTAAGGATTTAATACCTCTAGATAATGTAATAGTGTATATCCACTATTAGACGATATATTATGCACCGTACTGCAGTTAGTAGCTCTTAATAAATCAAAGTATTGGATGTCTTCTCCTTCAAGATGACCTGCACTCCTGAAACAAACTTCAAATGCAAGGCTTTAATGCTTAATTGCTTTATTTGTGCCCGGTGCAGACAGGCTACCTTTTCTGTAGTTTTTTTACTTTGTGTAATTTAATGATTTCGTACTTAGATTGCTGTACAAAGACATTTTGATCGACATTCCACTTTCTCTAATCAATGTAGCAGACATGAGCCTTGAAATGCAAGTGCCATAAGGATAAGGTTACGTACGCTACCCTTCTCTAACCGAGTACTTCCTGTACACAGCATGATGAAAGTGTAAATGTTTCCTGCAGCTCTTTTGCATATCAATAAAGAATCATCAGCCATCGAGCCAAAAACGTCTTCGAAACTCGTTTATGAAAGCTTGCACAATAACCACATCAATGAAAATAGGAATTAACTAATCAAGTCATGTACATGTACATTGGAGCTTTATTAAGTGTCCAAACAAAATATCACTTACAGTTCCTCTGGAGGCGAGGGAGTGAAAGAACAGTAAACAGGCAAAGTGCACGGCCTATACTAGAGCATCAGCCATGAAGAGCTCCTTACGTATAAATACAGATGATGAACCTATCAGGACCAATCACAGCCTTTAACCCAGAGATCCAGACTGCACTGCATCCTGGTACGACTGCCCGCCCTCCTTCTGCTCTGGGAACAGTTTGATGAGGTCGTCGATACGAAGGATGGTGATCGCAGCCTCCGTGGCGAACTTGAGGCTCTTTGTCTTCACCATGGTGGGCTCGTACACGCCCGCCTGACGGTTGTCTCTAGGTTTGCCGTTGAGCAGGTCAAGACCAATCCTACCAGACAGAGAGAGTGGTCAAATACTGAATCTTCTACAGAACAGGTAAAACACTTCCCAAAGCACTTTCCCTGAGCCAAATAGGAATTATGGCAATAGCTTATTTTACTCAACCCAAATTTTTTTTTATTAATATGATAGAAAAAAATGCATCTGATCATTCCAGAGTGAACACCTAAACCTATCGTGCCACTTAACGTAAACTACGGCTGCTCAATTAAATCATATTTTAAAATTACGATTTTGGCTTGCAACATAATCCAAAGACTTTTTTTTTTTTTTTTTTTTAAATTGGTTTTTCAGCTGAATTATACTTAAAGTTCAGGGTAATCAACTGTTAAAAACATACTGTTCACATTTTTTCACAAGTAAATGGATGATCATTTTTAATAATTGTGATATCAATTATTGACCCGAAATTATGATTTTTGCCATAATCGAGCAGCCCTAGCGTAAACATATGACAGTGTTGTGGCTGGTGCAGTCAGGAGAGACTCACCATTTGAGGTTCTTGCGTTCAGGATTAACCTGAGCCTCATTGTGGAAGGCCCGAAGCTTTGCCACCAGATCTGTGGAGTCCTGAGCTGCGTTTACAGCCAGCGTCTTCGGGATGACGAGGAGAGAACGAGCAAACTCAGCAATAGCCAGCTGCTCCCGGGAACCCTGAAAAATGAATCATAGATGAGTGAAATCTCAGTATCGGGAAACCTGGGTAAAAACACAACTCCAGATTCGCTGCAGCTCAGATAGAAAGGTTTTCAGAGGAGTGTGCTCACCATGCTTGTGGCATAATTCTCCAGGTAGATGGACAGAGCTGCCTCCACAGCGCCGCCTCCTGGCACCACAGACTTTGACTCCAGCACCCTCTTGACCACACAGAGAGCGTCATGCAGAGAGCGCTCCATCTCGTCACACATGAAGTCGTTGGCCCCGCGCAGAATGATGGATGCTGATGTGCGTGCTTTGGTGCTGAGGAGATTCAAGGGAGGAGAAGTTAGAACCAATACAGCTTATTTATGTCAGACTGTGAAAACAGTATATGCAGGCAGACCTATGAGGGGTTTCTGCCCTCTACAGATCATACAAACTCTTTTTCAGAGTTAATCAAAACATGTTGCCAGAACTATAGTCGATGCACTGAAATGTTCTGATCCTACAGTTAGTACAGACATCCACAAAGTACCAACAATGTGATTTGCATTAGAAAACATTGATTTATATAGTTGCAGTTCTTACTTCTTGATCATGATGAGCTCGTCGTCACAGATGCGATCTTGCACAACCTCCTCAGCCTGGCCGAGCATAGTCGGCTCGAATGTCTCCTCTCCCTCCAGATTGGTCAAAGAAGGGCAGACGGTGGCTGAAATAGGACATACACAACCAGCGTCACCATGATTCAGTACTTTCAAACCACTAAATAAGGGTTTGACTTTTTTTTTTTTTAAAAGTGTACACAGATGTTTAGACAAGCTGCAGCAAGAGGTACCTTACATTCCACAAGATGTATACATAAGCACAAACTGACCAAGTCTTCTGATTCAAACTTAGAATACTTTGTTACAACTTTGATAAAATGTTTTAAAAAGATACCATGCATTTCATTTTGTACCATCATTTCATTAGAGGTGGCAGAAATGTGGCTGCTCAACCTCTTCAGACTTTGACGGAGTGTTTCTCTCTCCTGTTAGCATAGCCATACATCTGTATCAAAAGGCAGATCTGGTACTATAACAGGATTTTTTCCAACAGACTGGGGAAGTGCAGTTAGATTGGTATACGTATTCTTTACAATCCACTTGTTTATGAACAGATGTTAAGAGCAGGAACACACAGACACCATCTTCAGTGAACTTCCACCCTACCTCCTGTTGACTTGGCAATGCGCTTGAGGTCCTTCTTGAGAACCCTCCTCACTGCCATGGCTCCGACATCCACAAAGTACTTCAGACACATGTCATCAATGCCACCGGTGGTCAGAATAACGTTTGCGCCTGAGGCCAGAATCTTTTGGATCCTCTCCTTGGTCATATCAGACTCCCTGTAGCAAGGAAATCAAAAGTTAATTTAGTTTCCCCAGTTTTATTTGGATACAATATAAATGCTATACAAACATTCTCCAGCCCACAATACTGGTACAACAGCTCCGAGAGAAACTGCTGCTTCATATCGGGGCCGGTATATATTTTCGCCCGCGCGTATCACTGTGTAAACTATTGATTCAGCATCACAGCAAATTGAAATGGGAATATTCTTAAGGATGAGTGACAGTGCAGGGAAGAGAAGAACCGTGTGTACCTTTGTCTGATCTGGTCCAGCTTCTCTGGGTCGCTGATCAGGACTTGGACTCCCATCTTCATCTTGGTCTTCTGCAGACTGAAGTCCAGGCAGGCAATCTTGGCGTTGAGGATGCGCTTCACCATCACTTTGGAGAAAACAGAATGGCATGTTTAACATTGCTACTCCACATTACAAAGACAAACAAATGAAAAGACATTTGTTATTATCACATTGTCTGGCTAAAAGGCTGTGACGCAGTTACTGAACGTTGTCTAAATAGCTTTCTAGAACGTTTTATATCTCCCAGGCGTATCACTGCTTACACCATGAGGTGAGGTATGCAGCACATTTAAGTTTAATCAGCTGTAGTTGTAATGTATGATGCATTACACAATGTTGTTCATTTTCATTTTGGAATATCGTGAAACAAACTTACTTTGTGACCCAACAGTGCAGTTCACTGCGTATCCATTAACCAAGAAGCTCTCCTTCTGGCTGCGGCCGTGAGCTTTCAGCACATTCACAGAGTTGATGGGATATTTGGCCACCCCCTTGACGTCCACAAACTTCACAGCAAGAGTAGCATCTACCACCATGTTAGCAAAGAAATCTGCATCACTGAGGGTTCCAGGTTAAGGCAGATAAGGGATTTGGTTGCATTAACAATAAGTCACTGCCTGCAAAGTCCTGGCATACAAAGGCCAGCGATTAAGTGGGTTTGATCAACACGTGCACTGTGTAGGAAAAAGGATACGTTCCAATGATTTTGGAGGACATGGAGGTCTTGGCTGCATTGATTAAGCACTCTCTGCCCAGTTCCTCTGTTCCAATAGTGAGATTCTCATTAATGTAGCGAACTGCTTCCCTGGAAGATAAAAAGAAACGTGTGCATCAATAAACATCTCATTAGATCTGAAGCACCCAGGGATAGTCAGCGTCAGTGTAGAAAAACTTCTGAACAGTAAAGAGCAGTCCTTCATGTTAGCATCTTACTTGCAAGCCAGACGATATCCACTGATGACTGATGTGGGGTGAATCCTCTGCTTCACCAGCTCATCTGCACTTTTGAGCAATTCTGCAGCAAGAATTACCTGAAAGAATGTCACATTGAATAGATAAGTAAATTGCAAGAGGAGAATAACCTTGTTACACTTTCAGCAAAAGAGTATATGAGAAAGTTTCATTTTGTACCGTCGTTTCATTAGAGGTGGCAGAAATATGGCTGCTCAACCTCTTCAGACTGTGACGGAGTGTTTCTCTGTCCTATTAGCATAGCCATACATCCATATTGAAAGGTAGATGTAGGTACTATAACAGGACTGTCATTGCAACCAATTTGTTCATTATTAAATAGTTTACAGAGCACAAAAATGATAAAAACAGCCCACTAATCTTTAAAAACATCGCAATAAAAATGCTTTTTATAGAGAACAGGGATATTAACATGCATTCCCTTCATCTCATTTGTATTCACTAAAATGTAAAGACAAAAAAATGCATTGTATATTTCTTCATCCTGGTATCCAACACACACATGGTCTCTTTACCAGTAGACTCCTAAATGTGCCACCCTATTGGAGCAGCTGAGGACCCCACTCACCACAGACGTGGTCCCGTCCCCGACCTCCTTGTCCTGCAGGTCAGCCAGCTCACACAGGACCTTGGCAGCTGGGTGCTCCACCTCCAGCAGCTTCAGGATGGTCGCTCCATCGTTGGTGATGGTCACGTCCTGTCAATCAATAAAATAAGACAGATGAGCAAGGCAGACCATTTAGTAAAAATCAGATAATACGAAATAGATGATAACAGGGGCATCACTTTGTTAGAAAAAGTGTGGGGGAGACTTTTTTCAGATTAAAAAAACAAACACTACTGCTTTCCCTTACAAACAATACATACATATGCTTAAAATACTTTTATGAAAGTTAGTGCAGTAATAGCTATGCTAAGCTGCTGCATAGCGGGTGCAACAATTGCCTCATTATTTTCGATATAATTACAATTAATATTATTAACAAGGTCGCAGGTCCAAATTACACCACTTATGTTACCGAAGTGTGAACTATTTTCGAGATTGAACATGTCCTCTTGTGCAAATAATCTCAGATTACTATCCTTTGTGCACTTTTTATTTAGCAAATTATCCTAATGCAAATGACGCCTGTGGATATTAATGATTGAGACACATACCCCAATTTCGTCCACCAACATTTTGTCCAGGCCAACAGGTCCCAGGGAGCTCTTGACGATGTTAGCGATGGCTGATGCGGCCATGACTGCAGAGACAAAAAGAAAGCTGCTCTTAGCAAGAAGCCCTAAATAACATTTTCTTCCCATTTAAAAGTCAGCTGATTCATCATTTACTATATCTGCTTAAACGTATATTCATTCATCTGTGACTGATATATCCTGTCAAACTATTTGGTGGGGTGCACAGTTAGCTAGCCACACCTTCAGACCATGACAGTGTTTTTCTATCCCATTAGCATAGCCGTCCATTCATGGTGATGCGAGTGGAAGGTACTGAAATGGGATTACAACATTATACTCTTGTTTGCGTAAATAGCATAGCGTGTAAAAATTGCATGATTTTTTTCTGTGCTATGCAGATTTTCACAGAAGAGGAAGCAGAGGCTTATAGTGACAAAAGTTAGCTAGCATTAGCATTAGCCACGTGTGGATCACGCAGTAAATTCAATCTGTTCTCCCGTCTACCATTCGTAATGCACTTTAAATATATGAAGCTTCTTTAAAACACCAAGTATAAGAGCAACATTACTCACCATTTTGAGTACGAACAGACTCGCCAGTTGTCCTCTGGCCGAGCACGTTCAACGGACCATCTAAGAGGGACATTTTGGACAACCACACAACTGAGAAGAAAGGAAGAACCGCAGTGCACTATGGGTAACCCGGTATTAAGGAGAAGATTCGAGAAGAAAATGTCCACTAAAAAATGTAATTGCGGAACTAAAGCTTTTTAATTATGTTAAAGATATCAACTTTGGAATTGTAATGAAGTTCCACGTCAACCAGTTCCCTTATTAAATTAGAAAAGTACACTTTGTCCCGTTATTTCTTATAAACTATATTACCCAGCATGCATCTGATGTTCTTCCTGTTTTAATCTATGGTTTTAATATTAGTAACGGTGGTGACCTCTGCTGGTTAGTCTGGTTATCACTTAAATTACAAAATGTATGTCGCACCTGCTGTGAAGCTAAACGTATAGTAGAGCAGGGGTGTCGAACTCAAATACACAGTGGCCCAAAATAAAAAAAACATGGGTACTAGTCGAGGGCCGGACTGGTTCAATGTTTATTGCAAAACTTATTGAAATGAACTCATTGCAGATATTAAACCTGGAACTAACAAAGCTTAAATTAGTGCCTATAAAAACAACATTAAACATTAAATAATCAGTTGCATTCATTTCTTATGGCTCTGGCTCTGCAGATTTTCCAGAGTCATTTCTTATGATTACATTTTTCCACAGGCCAACAACAGCTTCAAAAACAACTATTTCCTTCAAAGAAAAAACCAAACATGCCCTGTTGTCGCAAGAAAAAAAGTGCAGAATGAAACATCCATTAAACTCAGTGTGCTGCTCTGTGATGCTTGTTCAAGCCAGATACTTGGCATCTCATCATGGGTGCAAGTTCATCAATGTTTGGGGTCAGGCTCTGAGCGGAGGAAATCCTCAGGATTGAGTGAAGGTGTGCGTGCAATATACCAGCGGGCCAGATCTAATAGTAATTAAAAATTATCCTGCGGGCCGAAATTAAATCCACCACGGGCCTGATTTCGCCCCTGCGCCTTGAGTTTGACACATGTGGTATAGGATTTTCCCCTTTTTTTACATTACATTATATAGATGTGTTTCTGTTCCTCTATTCCTTTTTTTTCTCTTCTTGAATTTCGCCGTAGGCTACTCTTAATTTTGTTTTGGAGGAATCGTATTATGTTTAATATTCATCACCTGATAAATTGGCAAAACTATTTTTTGTCAAACTTTGCTCACTAACTTACAAATATATGTTAGAAGAAATTGCAGTGCAAAAATGTCAATTATATGTTTGGGACAATGTAGAAACTCTGTCACCATTAAATTGTATGCCAACCTCTGTGTTGCTCTGAGAAGTTTATTTTGTATCCTTCAAATGTCCGCAGGAAATTTCTTGGTCAGAATATGAAGAACATTTTTAAATTGTAAATTTAATTAAATGTTCTCAATTTTAGTTATTGATTTTGGGCTCAAAAATATATTACTAGTTGGGCTTCGGGCCTACTTTTCATCATTGAGAATTGTCTCTTTTGTACAGTAATTCTAAATGTTGAGTTGACACAATTCCCCTATTTCTTTACATGGGCCTAGCTTGTAATAACCAATTGATTACCAAGCATGATGTTTAAACGCCAAGGTAGGCTGGTATCTGCATGATATATTTTTTATATAACCTGATATACATTTTATATCATAAAACTAAAGGCATACATGCTACTAAATCAATGGGGAAGTCATTACTTTTATCCCCAAGCCAAGGCTAATCCTTACAAAATGTATGTCATCTCAATTGTTGTCATTATTCTAGGCTGCTCTCCTTGTATTTGTTCTTATTATGTGTTCTTGAAGGAATAAGCAAGGAACACTGTTGAAAATAACCTCAGATTTAAAATATGCTGTCATACCATTCATGTTTATTCAGTGATAACCACAAAAACACAGAGATTAGTTTAATTTGAATTTATTACCTCCAATACATTGTTGAGCAATGACAACTAGGCAGTTAAAAAAATACAGTACACTTAACTTAAACATTAAAGCATTATAAAGCATACCTAATGTATACAAGAATAACTTTCCTAAAATGTACATCTTTACAAAGTGTTTACAAATCAAATGTAAAAAAAGACAGAAAGTGCAAAAAAAGACTCAATGAAGACAGACAATCCCCACCAGTGAAACAGAGGACATAAATGTACAAGGAAAAAAGAACATACTTCATATTCCTAACATGCTTATGATACATATTTCCTGGTTTAAACCGCAGGCCATGATATTGTGCTTTTCAATTTTTCACGTGTTGTTTGGATTTGGAACTTGTGTTAAGCAGTGCGTGAAAGGAACTTCTAAAAAAATATTCACAGTATTTAATTCCAATTGTGTTTGCGCCCCTAAAATCAGAATAAAACCTCTTTTAATAAATAATGTATTTTATAACTTGTCTGTGGCTTAAGGTCAACGTGAAACAGACCAATAACCAGGGATGCTTGCAAACAGTAGGACAACTTTGGCGATTTTTATTAAGACAGTGTGTGATAAATACTGGGTATGCTTCGAGGGAAGAGAAACAATTGTGTTGCATGAACCTTATTAAAGTGACTGACAACTATCCGACTGTGAATTTCTTTCTGTGAAGTGATATCAGTAGTGTGACAGAGTGTTCCATAATATAAACAAAGTAGACAGACTATCCATGTGAGAGGGAAAACAAATACACCAAATAATACAGTACTTTCAACCAACTCCCCTAATGTTCTCCTTCGTGGTCCCTCTTAAAGGTTAAAATGAATATGATAAGAAACATCCACTTGTTGAGATGCACATTTCACTTTATACATGATGGATGCCCCCAGACTTTGACATGAAAAACCATCTCTGATTTACTCACAGATTCAAAATAAATATGAAGCTCTATGGTTTCTTAATTATCTAAAATATCAGCATCTTCTCTCGATTTTTAAACCGTGTTTTTACCCTATTGATGACAAAGGTGGCAGAAACACAATAACCTCAAATAGACTCAAAGGTCTAAATGTACTTATACTTAACCTATTGGATCTTAGTCAACGTGTTTTCTTTACAGCGGCATCATTACTTGTTATAATTATTGCTAAAAAGCTGTTAAAAGTGACAATCTAGCCTCAAGATGCAAATTTGAAAAATGTTGCATGTTCAGATCTGTTTAATAGTGTAAGCACAATTAAAAACACTAGAGCAGCCACCATTGTGGTTCACAGCTCCTTAATAGGAGGTTAACTAGTGCTCAAAATGCTGTAAAATAAGCTTTGTGGCAAATAAAAAGAGCTTGAAAAGTCAGTTGTGTGGTGAATCATCAGATATTTCATGCTTTTACTACTGTTTGAGACATTGGGCACGGACAAGATTTCTTAAAATCAGTAACAGGTATCCTGAACTTTTACTGTAACTGTACAACAGTTTAATGGCATCAAGTCCTCCAGCAGAACCAATTCATATGACTCCAATTACATCTACAAGGCTCACATGTAAAGCGATAAAATAGTTAAAATTCCTCTGAATATTATAACCCGTTCAGTCACAATGAATGCCTTTACGAGACAATCTTTGCTTTCACCGATTACTTTTCACCACCAGGTCTGTTTGAAGCCTACACAATAAGACTGTTTGGAAGTGCTAAGGCGGCTCACACTGAGGCTATTAATATTCATTATTTATTTTTACATTAAAGCCCTGTCACAGAGAGTTGCAAATATCGCTGCAATCAAAGAAATTGCTTCTGCTCTATGCTGAGAGATGTGTCATTGTTTGTGGACTATAATGTTGAAATCTGGATGGCAAAGCAGCAGTGTCCCTTTTGTTGCTATATGCTGTATGTTTATTTATATTTGGCTTTTTATTTGTCATAAAGACTCAGGCGAAGCTACTGGAGCTCAGACAATGAAACTTCTCCCTCAGAGATTGGACGATTTTGGGTTGGCTCTGCTGCGGCTCGCTCCACAGGTACTTCTCCAGCTGCTCACGGTCCAGAGCCCTCTGCTGATCGCAGGAGTGCAGCGGGCTGCACGGGAGACTCTGGGAGTGGACCAGACCCCGGTTCTGGTTGGGAAGGACTGCCGAGCTGCCGTTTTGCCGCGCCAACCTGTCCTGCTCTAGCTCGCTCTCGTCCTCCGAGCGGATCTCTACGTAGTCGTCATCGTCTTCCTCATCGTCCTTAAAGTTAGCCATGTAGTTCTGAGTGGCGTTGAGGATGCTCAGTGCAGAAGCCCGGTTCAGGACGACCACCTGTTGACCGTCGTGTAAAGTCATGTCTGACTGTCCGTGGGTCGAGCGCTCTGGGAGACTACTCTGCCGACCGGTCCGACCCAGACTGGGGCCGCGGAGTCTGTCCGAGGGTACGTTACATTTGAGTTCAGTCTTCTCCTGGCTGCCCAGAGAGCCGAGAGACTGACAGTGACTCGACGGGGGAGACTCTGACGAGGGTGAAGAAGGAGCGTTCAAGGAAGGATGTCTTTTAATGGAACTGTACACGTGCTCCTCCTGTTCGCTCGGTGGAGACATGCAGGAGCTCCATCTCTGGGATGGTGGTGTGGTAGGAGAGGTCTTTAGGGAAGGGATAGAGCAGGCAGAGGTGAGTCTGCGCTGAAGGGTAGAGGACGCCCGAGCATCGTTTAAGTCACTGGACGAGGAGACGAAGCTGGCCAGCTCTCCATTGCTGTAAGTGGAGTGGAGCCAGTCCTCCTCCAGGGAGGTCTCAGGCATGGAGGGAGACGACGGTAGCCCCGGGTGGGAGTGATGCGAGGGGTCTTTGAACATTACCTGGTCGTAAAGCTGAGAGTACTCTGCTATCTTTGCACCTGAAGGGGAAACACAGAGGACGCAAAGAAGGTGTGAGTAGGGTTTTGTTATGATATAAATATAACATGAGCACAAGGCTAAAAAGAACAAAGACTTTATATATTTGTAATATTGTCTTGAATTATAGTTGTAGTGTGTTACAGTATATTTGTGTTTATCAGGATACATGGGTGCAGGTTCTTTGGTGTGTTGAATGTGAGATTTTGGCATTGTGTGAGTTGATTGGTTTGTTTTCTTGGTGTGTTTTTGATAATTAAAACATATTTCAAATGACTTGCAAAAGAGGGATCCCAATTAGTTACTGTATATGAAATTGGGTTTTTAGATTTAAAACGTTTTCAAAAAGGTAACACTCTATGGCAAAACGGTCAAGTTTAGCCAGATCAGTGCATTCTAAGTTTTGACAAGTAAAAAAAACCTTTCTCCGAGAGTTCAATGATTTTGTGTTACCTATGGCAGAGCCCCCTTGCTTCTTTTCTTCCAAGATGGCTGCCAGGTCTTTCTGCTTCTTCTCAGCTCTGCTCCGCCCACAGGCGTCTCCAGGGTCCATGCTCCTCATGCGCAGCAGCTGGTTGGCTTTCTTGATTTTCTGACTGTACTGCCGTGCCATCAGGAACACTCGGTTCTTGGATTTCTCCATCTCCAGGTCCACAGACTCCCCCAGCAGGAGGGAGGAGGAGGCCAGAGGGGAGGCCAGAGGGGAGGCCAGAGGGGAGGCCAGAGGGGAGGCCAGGCCTGCCAGCTCCCCTGGAAACAAACTATGGAGGTCCTTGAGGGGAATATCCCTCTGAAGGGTGTTTCTTGGAGGAAGCTCCACCAGGTCGTCGTCCTCCAAGCGGAAGCTGCCACTACTGAGGCGAGCCAGTCTGTTCCTGATGCTCTTCACCGTGCCTGCGAGGGGCTCGGGGGTGACGGGCGGGGGAGGAAGGGGGCGTGAGCTCAAAGACGGGCTGTAGCTTTCTTCTGCAGCAAGGCATTCACTTTGCAGGTCAGGGAGGTTGATGACTGGGATTGTGAATGACTGCGTGGAGGTAACAGGTGGGGGCTTAGGCTGGTGTGTTGGGGGACTCTTGGTGGGATTGCTGGCTGCTTGGGGACTAATTACAAGAGGAATCTTCGTGGGGCTGTTTTTGACCGATGGTGCTTTCTTAGGCGACTCACGGGCACTAACAGGGAAGGCAGCAGGAAGTCTATCGGCTTTCTTCTCATTGATCTTGATGTAGTTTTCCAGATCGTTCCAGATCTCGTCGACTTGCTCCGACATCTTGTCCCCTTTCTGCGGGCGCTGCGAGAAAGTCTCAGAGGCAGACGAGGAGGAATAGTCTGGCTCAGAGGAACATGGGACAGGGTGCAAGGCTTCATCCTCTCCAAAGTGGAGGCTCTCCTCGGACACAAACCCTCCAAGGCTTCGAGTCAGATCTGGTTCTGAGGCCAGCAGACTGTCTCTCTCCTGTTGTAGTTTGTTCCCTTCATTCACCCCTTTAAACTCTGTCGTAGGGGGGTCCCTGAAGCAGATGGTGTCATAGATGTTTTCTTCTACTATCTTCAGCTCACATGACCCGAATGGCCTCCCCTCCTGCATGGGCGACGGTTTTCTCTCAGAAGAAATGTCTTGTTGGATCACACGCTCTGGGACCACAGGAGTCTCTGGAGCAGTCAGTACCTTTGCTGCCTGGTCCTGGGAACCCTGTGCATCTGAGGGGGTTTCTTTCCGTGACTGGCTCTCCTCGGGGTCTCTTCTAACAAGGCCCATGCTCTTCAGATCCTCGTAGCTGATGTTGTCATACACATTTTCTACATCGTCTAACGTCAGCTGTTCGGCTGATGATGACCCAGATATGTCATTGCTGGAGGATTCAGTGTGGATCACCTCCAGGTTGCTGTTACCGGCCTGGTCGTCATCAGGACTCTGGAGCCCCTCTGAAGCCTTCTCCCCCGCGCTGCTCGCCCTCCGCAGGACCCTGCTATCATCAGAGGGGGGGTCAACATGCACAGTGGGCACCTGTTCCACGTGCCAGCTGCAGGGCCGAGCCGTCCTGGGCGACGAGGGGGCTTCTGACCTCTCCGAGTGCACTTCTGGTTCTGGTGCGCTCTGCTCCGTCGGGACAAACATCTGGTAGATGTCCTCGTCCTCGTCTTCCGGCTGCATGGTTCGCTGGCGGGTTGGGAACATGGCCCTGCGAGCACGGTGGTCTGCCCAGATGTTCCTCACAGATTGGTCGCTTTCTGTGACTACTACAGCTGGGACGGGGGTGTCTGGAGGCTCCTCCATCACGGCAGGGGTCCTGAGAAGCGGAGGGTGGTGACTTCCTTCCCTCACTAGGGATTCTCTGGCTCTCTGTGGGGAAGGTGAGCAAAAGCTGTTGTTATAAACGTAGTTAAGGTCTAAAAATATCTAACTATAGACATCCCTGCAGCTGATATCTCCAACACTTAGCAACTCACACCAAGACAATCTGGATAAATAGCAGCTAAGAATTTTTGACTTTGGGCGTACTGTCCCTTTAAATTGGTTACATTTGATTTATACCTGTAGGTCTGAAGTGCTCATGTTGAAGGTTTTCCACTGTTCTATACTGTCGACAGACGCCTGAGGGTTCAGTCTCTTCCTACTGCTTTTACCAGGCACTCGCAGACGCTTTCCTCCCCCCTAATGGAGCAGATATTTAACATTAAAAACATGTTGGAAGAGCTAGACATGAAAGTGGAATAGTACGAGTGATTATTGGGCAGCTTTGAACTCACCAAACCACTGTCATCTTCATCATCAGCATCTTGTTGATGAGGCTCCTCTTCTCTGTCACTGTGGTCGTAGTGATCGCCGGGGTCCAGGGACTCCTGTGATTGGTTGATGAGGCTGCGGCTTCGACCAATGGTGCCCAAAGCCAGCTGGGACATTGGCGAGAGCAGAGTGGCGCCCAGACTTATCCGCTGAAGAGAGGAAGGTTATTTTTTAAATTATGATTTTAAAATAACAGCGTGCTTATCAACCTACAACTTTTCATCATCTCTGGCTATCACTCACCTTTTCTCCGTCTGTGTTGGCAGCATTCTGCTTGGCATTTTTCAACAATTTGGATAGAGGTTCTGGGAAATCAAACAAATCATTGATTAAATCTTTGAGTTCAGCCTTGCAAGGTCTACTTTTAAGATTCAGTACTTCTCTTTAATGTCTTACCTTTCCTGCGTCCTCTACGAGGGGTTGGACCCTCCTTGGTCTGAGGGGAATCCTTCTTACCTCCATCGGGGCTGAAATGAAACCCAGGATGATCTGGATAAATGAAAGAAAAGATGTCAACAACATGATGATTAAATAGAATGCATTGAATATGTATGTAATTTCTATGTATTCTACATTTCTTATACATATATGAATTGGCACTCACGCATTGCATCCATCTCCAAAATTGCTTGCTTAGCCTAGAAATCAAGTGAGAAAATATGAGGGTGAGTTCCACAGGTTATTGATAAACATTAGCTCTGACACTAGGTGGCGCCACATAACAGTCCTCTCTTAATTATCCGCATGTTTGACACTTAACAAGCAGCCCCTTTATGTAATCAGTAAACTTTCACAGTGACCTTCACCCTTGGAGAGGAATCCTCAGTTTCCACTTGCACATGGCCAAATCAGAATTAGACACAGAAAAGGGATTGTGGTTGAATTTAAATAAATGAGAGGAAAAATCAGAGCACATAAAAAAGTAAAGGGAGGAGATAAATCCGGAGGAAAGACAGATGGAGATGAGGGAGAAAGGAAGAGGGAGAGACATTTCCCGAACATCCCACTCGAAATCTGTCTGTACGCCACAGTGAACAGAGAGGGAGCTGTCAGGAGGACGAGCCGCTCTTACCTTGGCAGGGATTTTGGCCGGATGGTTTTCAAGTATAAGTCTCTTGAGGTGTAAGATCCACATGCGCTTGTCTTGCTGTGATTTGGCCTGAGGGTAGAGTGGAAAACATCAGAGAGAAGATGACATCAGACACAAAGCAGCAGGGAGGGTCGGGATAAACCCTTAAACATTTTGAAACACGGCTTTCCTAATGTCACACTGATTATCTTTTATTTTTTCAGTGCTAATGCAAAACACAGTGGTTAGGGGAACAACAATGGCCACCATTAGCCTCTTCAAACGTGTCTGAGCAGCTCAGTGAGGTGGGCCCGGACACCTGCAAATGATCTTCACACTTTCTGATTGCACGCTTGCTCAAACGTGTAATTACATTCACTTTGACTTCATGTTATGATGCAGGCTCTATTGTGCAATGTTTCTGTACCTGGACCGTGTGCTGAAGTTTGGGGTTCTTGTAGTGAAACACACTGAAACTCAGCGGTTCTTTCGGGATAACTTCCACCAGCATCAGGTTACAGCACTGCAGAAAACACAGGAAGGTAGGACATTGTGTTAGAAATGCTGTTACTGAACAGAAACGTTATTATTTAGTTGTGTCTCTTCTGGATGTGACTGACCAGTATGTGAGCCTTGTACGTGTACGTTTCTTCTCGTTTCTTGGTAATGAGCAGAAGCTTGTCAAACAGGAAGAGGGTTCTCTCGTTTTTAGCTCGCTGTAGACGAAACGTTCCTTCGAGGACCAACTCTCCGTAGCCAATCAGATCAGGGCCTTTCCAGTTGGTCAGCAGGCTCTGGATTTCCTGCAGAGTGCATAGAAATACAGAGAGTTAGGGGAGGGAAACCATAACAAATCGTGCAGAAAAAATAACGACACATTAAAAAAGCTAAATTGGAAACATGGCATATCATTGGAAAAAAACACAAACAAAGATTGTTCATAAAAACAATATGTCAACTTTAACAGATTCAAGCAAATAAATAGTAAAGCAATGATTGAAAAGAACATTATAAAAAGGTGGGGTTTCATATATAGTGTGAAGGAGGAGGGTGTCTTTTGTGCGACTGAATGGAGGGCGAAACTGACTATAGCAAACAGTAAAGAAGAGGAAAAAAGGAGAGATAATAAGAGAGCAAAACAACAGAACTGAAGAATTCTATAGAGCCAATCCTTTCTCTGATGCTTCCCCACACATTCCTGCATTCATCTGGCCCTTCTGGCTCCCAGCTGATAAAAGAAACAAGCTTCCCTTTTATGTGCCCTCCTTATGCAAGGCCATCATTAGTCCAGTGGAAAACTCAGCCACTTGCGTAAGACGTGGATCAGAGCGCTGGCTGAATCAAAGCTAGACTTCACATAACTGTTCTGCAGAACAATAAAAGAATTGGCTCCTTGAGAAGGCTCCCTGTGTCTGTTTTAGTTATAGGAATAATGAAAAGCGTGGAAAGTGTGGAGAACACATCATGGAGGAGATCACACACTCCACATGTGATGGATTCAGCAGAGTGCTTGAAGACTTGTTTTTGCTTCTTTCTCATTTTATAATTGTGTCGTCTTACCTGCAACCTAACAGCATGCTCGTGTTTCCTCTTCATGTCGTTGATGTGCCAGGCCACTCTCTGCATGGTGTCTATGGCTTCCTGCACCACCTCGTACGTCTCCGTGTCCTTCTCCATGTGATTGGCTATCTCCTGCAAACACACAACGCTAAGAGTCAGCACACGCACATACTGTATGCACATGCACAGGGATGCACTCATACAGGCTCCCGTGTGTGTGTTTCTGCACATAAACACACACTCATGCTTGCACTCTAATGCATGCACAGGAACATGCATACTGAGCAGCATATGTCGAAACATTTGGCTTCTCCAGTGGAGATTGTCATTGGAGCCGTGTCAGAAAGGCTGTTATTCAGCCCATTTGTATTGGTATAACAAAAAAACCTTAGTGTGTCCTGGAATGACTTGTGTGAACCTGGGCTTGCATTTCTGTGGGTAGCGAGTAATTGTTTCTGTGTAAGTGTGTTTTGGAGCAGGGCAGACAGACGTACGTGTAGCAGGAGGTGGTACTTGAGGATCCTCTGCACTGGCTTGAGCAGGTAGGAGCCCAGAGGCAAGGAGTGCCGCAGAGATTCCTGGCGCTCGCGGAAAAACTTGGCCAACGCCTTGTTCCTCATGCACTCTGTTAGCACAGCCACCGACCTGCGGAGGCAAAACACAGCGAAAAAGATTTCAGAGGTGTGCAGTATACCCTAATTTGACTGTGATGACAAGATAGAGGTGCAATGTATGTCATGACAGCCAATATAATAACGATTTTAGCATGGTGTGCGAGTATTATATCATATTTACATAACAAGGGAGTTCATCATAATACAGATCTATATCTCAAATTTCATTTAATTCCTTAATAGTTTTCCCATGCAGCCTTTATTGCTTTTTGGTACATATTCACCTAACAGCACTGTAAACAGAAGCACTGTTAAACCTTTTTAGACCTGAATGTACTGCTTACTGGAGCTGTGTGTTGTTTGACCTCCCAGGAAAGAAGAAGCTTTTTTATAAGTAATGAAGTCTGTGTGTGTGTGTGTGTGTGTGTGTGTGTGTGTGTGTGTGTGTGTGTGTGTGTGTGTGTGTGTGTGTGTGTATATATAGGCAGAGTGGAAAATGATGGAAAACAGCTGTGAACTACCCAAAACGTTCTTTCTGTCTTGTGTGTGTGTTTATGTGTGCGTGTGTGTCCGAGCGTGTCTGTATATCTAAATTCCAGTAAAGCTCCACACAGGCCTCACATTGTCCTGGAGGAAACCCGACCTAAGAGCGCAGTACGACCATGATACATCTACATCCTCTGAGTGTGTGTGTGCTTGTGTGTGTTTGAGTGTCTTCCATGTGTGTGCACGTCTGTCGTGTGTGACCTTGGTTGGGGTCACCAGCTGTGGTGTGGATGTGGGAGACGGTCTATCTCATACAGCTGACAAAAGCCCCTTCACACACAGTGTCACACACACACACACACACACACACACACACACACACACAATCAGCATTGAATTAGTCATAATTAGCTGGTAAATAGTTTCTTCCCCCACGTGCACTTGTGATGAAACACTGTTAAAGAAAAAAGGTAGCCAAAGGGGAAAGGTGTGTTTGGTAGGTGCAGTGTATATTGTCGTAAAGAATAGCCTCATGTTTCAAATACAGTGACACAATAAACTTCTCCCATAGGACCAGACTCACACAAAGCTTACTAAAACATTAACGGCGTTAGGTATGATAAGGTGACAACTATAATACCCCATCTGTCAGTGTGGGAGCTGTAACTCTGTCAATAGGCAGCGAATAAAAAAATAAAGGGAAAAAAAAGTGCACGAGGGAGGGAGGGAGAAACAGAGCCTGAGGCACAACTGAAGGTAGACACTTTGACTCCTGCTGAGCTGACGTCTATGGAGTGTGTCAGTTTGTCAGGGAGGGGATAAAGGTAACGCATTGATGGACACACACAATGGAGCTACGTGAGACGCTGGGAAGACAGTGTGCGGAGGTGAGATTAAGATAGGATGACATCAAGAATGTTTGTAGAGTAGGACGGTTGATAAGCAGACACTGAGAAGCAAACCGGTTTAGTGCTGTCTTACCGTGGGTAGTTGGTGCAGTACTGAGTGTAAATGTGGAACTCTTCACTCTGTAAAACACAACAAGCACAAATTAGATGATGCAGTTAAATGACATGAAAAAACGAAACAGTCAAGAGAAGAATCAATGATGTCATGTAATGTTAAAGAGTGTTCACAAGCTCAATGTCAAATAGCTAGCAGGTATAATGTTCACCATGTTCATACAAATGCATTTCTGACAGCATTTTCTTGTGATTTATTTTTATTTTTCGAACAACTACAGCAAAACAACTTGTTAAAGTATGTTTGCAAATTCTAGCTAGTTTCTTGTTCAACCACAAACTAAGAAATCGTTTACTTCATCATGAGATTTAACGGCACCTCAACTCTCGAACAAACTGTAAAATGTGCCCGGTTTTGTAAATCAGTATCCTCTCTGAATTCACTTCCTGGTTAAGTATTTATATCCTGAAGCCTCATCACAATTTGTTAGTAGGTGTGTATTTATGCGTGTATAAAAGGTACATGTTTTTTTGGTGTACATTAATGTATGTGGTTTAACACCTGGTTTTGATAAGTGCAATATGAGTTGTTTGTTTTCCTACATTTTGAACAACCATTAATTTCCCATCATGTCAGCAGTCTAAAAGCTGATTAAGCGTTTCCAAACTCCGCTAATAAATCTTCATAGCTAAATATTTTGCAAACAATGAATGCCTGGAGCAAATACATTTGGTCTGAATTTCAAAAAACACGGCAGCACAGATTGCAAATGATTAGCTGTAATATAAGGTTTATGTACGTAGTAATAAATGGGCTAAAAAACACAACACTGGTACCGAATGCTGTTTTTCTCAGGTAAAGTGTACTGCCCTGTTTGCCTCACTGTTTGTGATGTCTCTGCAGTGATCCGGTGCAGATTTGATGACTGGCCTGGTTATTTCATGTTTACATCCCTACACACTCTCAGCCCTCAGACAAGGCCTCTTCTCTCCTCCGTTCACTGCTACTAATTGAAAGTCAACCCTGTAGCTTATGATTAGCCTGCGTCCTGGCCTTTGAGTCTCTGTTGATCCAAACGGCAGTGAGCGCTCAGATTATATATCCCCTCATACTGCATCGCCGCCCCTATAATTGAGACTCTTCCCACCTTGCATGACTCACTGAACATCAAAGACATCAGAGACGGGATGACTTATCAAAGCTAGAATTAACCTCTCTCTGCTGCTCTCAGGAACTCTGCTTCATATCGTTCAGTCTTTCACCTGATTTCCATGTTATCTCTTCATTGATGTTTTACGGATATTCGTCAGTGTTTCATAATCTTACATTCCTTCTTGTTTCTTTAGGCTTTTTCTATCAATCTCCCCCTCTCATTTCGTTATGCTGGAGTCCTGGAGATGAACCCTCTTTCTGTTGCATAACGTGACAGTCTAATTGAAATCTATTTGTGTCAATACACTTGGGGGGGGGGGTCGCAGGATGTGGACAGCCACCAGGAAGCAGCATCATAAACACAAACGGCTGTTCTGGTTCATTGTGTCCAAACACACACAGGAATGTGGACATTTACACATATTTCCTAAAATGCGATTCATAGTTACTTACAGTGTACATACACAGGGTGTGATTGGATGTTATGCTCCTTGCTTGGGATACATATACATTCCTATTCAAGCTAGCTACACAAAGACAAACAGTGCATCCCACCTAACTAAACTGAGAAAATAGGAACACACACACACACACACACACACACACACACACACACACACACACACACACACACACACACACACACACACACACACACACACACACACAATTTGTTAGCCTGAGGTGCTCCGTGGGAACCTTCCTAAATTGAAGAGCAGAGCTCTCTTCCCTGTCTCCAGTCTGCCGCCACAGACCAGGCTTAAACACAACCAGATGTGCCACCATCGATTTCTGATGACACACACCAACACACACTCCTAATACACACTCGTAATATGCCTCTGAACCTTGGACACAAGACCACAAGATACATACATGTTTCTATTGAGTACAGAATTGTACAGAGCACGCACATCTGCCCACACACTTTGTCATTAAAGCTGACATGTCTGCACACACTCTTTGAACTCAACCAGGAAAACCCTGAAATAGCTCAGATCTATAATATACTTCCCTTTTAGAAATATATACAAGTTTAATCATATAATCATCATGCTGCATGTGAGAGTATTGGCTCCTTTATACGATAAACATGATCCCTTTTCCAGAGTATCAAAATACAGATTATAGAGGATTTGTACTTGTTTTGCCACTAATAACTACTCAGTACAACAAGGAAAGGTCGAGTTGTATCAGCACCCACTGATCCGTTCTAAGGAGAAAGCCATAAAGTGTTTGTCTTTTTCTCGAGAACGGACTAGTCACAGTGAGTCATCATTTGGGAACTGAACACGGCAAAAATCACTAGGGGCTAAAATAAAGAAGAAGCTTAAGATCTTATTGTAATTGTGCTTCAGTCAGCATGTAGCAACCCATACAACGCGTTAAAGGCTTACTCATCACATTGCACAGTTAGGGCTGAGGCGAACAGAGAGGAACATGAGGATGGATCGGTAATTATCTGAGAGAGAGGCAGAGATTTACAACCAGACCCGTCTCTTCTTCAAACACTGTGCTGGGTTGTGATTTTTGGCTGCTCAGGGTAGAAAATGTATAGCTGCAAGGGTTGTAACCAGAATTACGACCAAAGTTCTCGAAGGTTAGTCATGGTTGCTAAGGCCACAAAACCTCTCTTTCACGATCAGCTGTGACACACACACACACACACACACACACACACACACACACACACACACACACACACACACACACACACACACACACACACACACACACACACACACACACACACACACACACACACACACACACACACACACACCTATAGAAGCCTTAAGACTGCTTTCATCATCCATTATTATTGTATGTTCATCCTCGTTTATTTACAATGTAAATATACAGTATAGTATTGAGTATATAACAGCTGTTCTTGAGCTTGCTTGATCTTCCTAAATTCCAAATTAAGTTTACCCATCGACTGTATGCGTTTACCCAGTTGTCGTACAGTTGTAGATTTCTAGAACATTTAAAGGACTTGCAAACTCATTGAAACATGTTTTCATTGGTCAACCGTGGGCCGTGGTTCAATATAATCTCTATGGACTATAATAAACGTCTGTTTAGGTTACATTTGACACAATCAAAGCATTTATCCACCAGATTGAACCTTCTACTGTAGTTAAATTGTTTTTATGGGAACCATCATTTACGCCTGGAAGCGAGATGTGTATATGTTTTCGACAGAACCTGGAGCAGCAAGTCAGGAGCTCTTCCAGTAAAATAAACGATAACAAACTTTAATGGCTTTAATGTTTCTCATGAGAGAAGTTATCAGAGGCAGGAGGCTCCTGGCAGCATGTTTTCTGGACCTAAGGAGGTGGAGCGATGTTTTCAGCTGGCATTGACCCAATTTACTCCGGGCTATAAGGATGTTATACTGTTTTTATAGCGACTGCTGTACTGACTGCAGAACAGAAGTCAACTTTAGGTTGTCCCAATTTCAGATCAGGGGATTATCCAAGATTGGTTCATCACGCTGTAACATTTATCAGTCGGTTACAAGATGTCATCATGCTGGTTTGTGTGTGCATCTCAGCTAATTACGCAGAGTGTTGCTGTGGACTGCAATAAAACTGCTTCGTATAAACAACAGCTGCTGTATTTGGGGAGTCTGTGACGCTGACTGCGACTTGTTTTTTTTATATATGGTCAGACAGTTGCTCTGTGGCATTGGGTGTAATTGCAGTGGGGTAGGGAGGGAATGCAAAATGTTTTAGAGGAAGTACAGGAATGCAGAACACAGAATCACGGGACGTTATCATGCAATCTTCTTTTTTTAGTGTGCGGACAGGGCGAGGAGCAGGACTGGGATAAAAAGTTGAAACACACAAACAGAGGATCCAGTGATAGAGTTGCTGATTCTGCTTTTTCTTGATAAAGCACTGCTATTATCCCTCTCTAGTCAAACAAAAAAAGGTGATTACATATTTGGACGGTCCTTAAAATTCCCCTTGAGCTGTCCTTCCTCCCGGCCCTCTCGTGGCACTTAAAACTCACATTCCTACCACCAAACTAATGCTACTGACCTTAAACATACCTTACTGACTTTAATAAGCCTGGCGTCTTCAGCGGGTTTGGGTAAATGTATCTCTTATAATACATGTTTCTCATTTTCTGTGCTGTGTGTGGGTGTGTGTGCGTTTTGTGCATGAGTGTCTGTTTATGTGTGTGTCTGACCAGCTGTTTGGACAGGTTTCAACGAGCAGAGGAGTGTGTATTTATAGGCAGAGTGACTCTGAAGTACCACAACATAATGTATTACTCCGATACAAGTAAATGTCCTGTGTTCATAATGTTTTTTAAGTAAAATTACAAAAAAACTATTAGTATAAGTATCAAAGGTAAAAGTATTTACTATGCAGAAAATCACTGCCATTAGATCTTTGAATACCGATGCAATAATGTTTTGAAATAATACAAAAATGCTCTAAAAATGTTTGGGAAATACCCTCTAATTTTGTAAAATGTATTGTAATCTTCCCTCTTTGGGCATCAACCTGTTATTTATCTAAAAAGTAAGTAAAGCTGTTATATGTTTTCTTCTGTTCTATAGAACAGAAGTGGAAATCAACAAATAGTGGAAGTTCATGTTCCTTAAAATATCTGCTCAATTGCTCATTTAAGTTGATATTCAGTTACTTTCCACCAATGGAAACAGAGAGAGGGACTGTGCAGGAGAAGGTGAGTAAAAAGGGGGCAGAGTAGCGACCATCTTTACCTTGGATACGAAGCACTCTGCGATGGCCACAGGGTCAGCGTTGCACTTCTCAAGATCATGCAGAAGGTCTCTGAAACAAACACGGCACTCAAAGAAATCAGTTATTGATGAAAGAAACCATAACTTCCTACTTCTCCAATACACAGGAATATAAACTCCCATGATTCATTGTTCCAAGTAAGAGCAAGAGTCAGCCTAGGTACAGAAATTAGGGCATAGGGCATTTGGCTCTGAACAAATGAGAAGCTTCCATGAATTCAAACAGGCTTTGTGTGTGTGTGTGTGTGTGTGTGTGTGTGTGTGTGTGTGTGTGTGTGTGTGTGTGTGTGTGTGTGTGTGTGTGTGTGTGTGTGAAAGTGTGTGAAAGTGTGTAAGAGCACATTGTGTAAAAAATGTAAGTGCACAGTTGGGAGTGATTGTTTCGTGGCTGAAGCATGAGGTCATTGTGATCGCTTTAAACTGCTTTTATGATTGCTTTTACTGGCCAGTGTCTGCGTGGGACAGCTGAGAAATGAATAGGTATGGAGGAAGAGCGTGTGTGTGTGTGTGTGTGTGTGTGTGTGTGTGTGTGTGTGTGTGTGTGTGTGTGTGTGTGTGTGTGTGTGTGTGTGTCTGCAGACCACCATGTTTGATGATCAACTAGCCATCTCGTCTGAATACACACACATCACAAACACAAGGTTTAGAGTGGTGCCGGATGAGACAAATATGCAGACGTGGAATTATTAAACACACACACGAACACACACCTGACTACCACAACAACAACGCCCTTCCCAGAAATGAACAGGTGCAGTTTCAGCAATGCAGGACATCGTCTGTGTGGCCTGAGAGAGACAACTGTCTGTCTACCAGAGCTGTTTAGAGTTCAGTCTCCAGTGTTGTTAAGCAAATTGATGGTCATAATCACTTTTTAATTCGTTCATTTACTGACTTTCGCAATGCTGAGTCCTTTAAATGATAAAGATGAATTATGAAATAGTAAAGGTATGAGACAATGTTAGGTCTCCTTGTTGCTATTTTGTTTATCATATATTGTTAAATGATTATAATAAAAAAGGTCGAGACTATTTTTTCCTTCAAAACTGATTTGGAAACCTTTTTTGGAAGCTTTCAACTGACCATGTGATTCATATTATGCCATAAGGTGATTAAACTCAATACAAATGTAAGGATAACGTTGTATTGTTATCAAAGCACAGTATTTTTAATCCACATTAAACATGGGCATCTTTCTAATCTCAACCATCAAGCATTAAATCCCAAGTCTCAAGTCCTATCTGCACAGCTCTCTGTGTGTGTTGTACCTGTTAAAGTGGTAGATGTCCTGGATGTTGCCGAATAGAGAGCCTTTATCCTCAGAGCTCAAGGCCAGCCGAGACTGATTACTGATGCTCTCCAAGTAGTCCTGCAGAGAGAAAGAGAGAACACAGGCCTGTTAGATCTCTATGGCTGACAGTTTGATTGTCACCAGCTTTGACCCACACACACACACACACACACACACACACACACACACACACACACACACACACACACACACACACACACACACACACACACACACACACTTTATTTTGTCAGAACACTCAAACTGTGACTCCTACAGACTTCACTTAAGTGGTTTTCAAAGCCCATTATTTTCTTAATATAATTCACTTGAGCACCCAGATAGCATTGTGACAAAGACTGTGACATTCTGCCATAATTATGCACATTGAGTCATCTGCATGATAATGTATGATTAGTTAAGCTTTTTGAACTGCTGAAGTACCATTTGATAGCAGTAAAGTATTGGAAGTAAGATTTCCTCACGCAGGTATAAATCGAGGCTGATTGTTAATATCATTATTTTATGTTTGTTCTTCTTCTGGGAAACAAACAAATCTGCAGGCTCCATTATTTCAGTTTAAATTACACTTAAAGGGCAACTTCCAGGTTAAAGACACCTGTGAATAAATGTGTAGGAAAATGATGAATACACTAGATTTTCCCAAAAATATACAGAAATACACCACAGTGACATCTGGCGTCGTTTTTGTAAGAAATGTTCACTTCCGCATAAAAAAACCTCTGCACGTGACCTCCCGCATGTGACGTAACATGGGGGAAACAAGGGGGAGAGCGGCCGGTGTAACGTATTAATAAACATGGATCCCAATGCTAGTTTCGACACAGAAGAAGTTGAACATGAATATTCGAATGCATATGACGGACCACAACCTTATAATTATGAGCCTGCTAGGCGTCCAAGAGACCAGGAGCAGCCAAGGATTAGAATAAATAACGGCCATCGGAGAGAAATTGAGCTGTGGTGTGA